TATCAGGGCTAAAATTCTCACAAAGATTCTCGAGTTAATAAAAATATTCCTATAATGCAGGTTTTATACAAGAAATCACGGAAATTTTATCTATCATATCTCCAATTATATTTATTATTGGCTTATGAATATACACAAACAGGTGAATAAACAAATCCCAAAATTATTTTTTATTTTACATAATTATGTATCTTTAAATTTTGGACAAAAATTAATCTAAACATTTTTAAAAAAATTTCACCCAAATTTCTTTTCTTTTGTTCAAGTTCGTTGTTCATTAGTTATGTTTTGAGACCGTATCCTGTAAACAATGAGCAGTGCTTCTGTTAATACACACCCGGAGAATAATCAGGGTTCAGAAAACCAGGAGATTTCTCCGACAATAGATGTCCTGTACTACAAAACTATCGACCCTGAAAAGGTTTTTAATCCGTCCTTCTCCACCCCCCGTACCCCGCCTGAACCTAGAGAACTGAAACCAAGACGTTTAGATACTTGTGTTCAAACTGAGCAAGTAGGTTCGAAACCAACCGTTCTTCGATCCCAGGTTATAGATTCTCTCCGGAGTGTTGAAGAACTTGATAAGAGGAAGGAAAGAGAAGAAAACTTGTACAGACTAAAGATTGAAGATTATTACCCACAGAACGCGGTTATCAGCAGGCTTAAAGGGATTGTTCAAGAACTTTTAAAATACTCTACATTTTTAAATATTCAACAAATCATATTAGTGCCTTCTAAACGATTCTCTGAAAACCACGATTATTGAGATATCTTTGGTTTTCTGTTTTAAATTGATAGCCGCGGCTATTCTAGAATGCAGTTGGTAGGTTTTTATAGAAAAATTAGAAAAATTGGCGACTTTCTTAGATTTTCATGAAATAGAACTTTTTAATTGATTTAGAAATAGATTGATAATCTCTTTTAAGATGCGTACGGTGGTAGAGAAGCGTATGTTACAAATGCGTACGGCACAAGAGATTCCTATTTACGGGAAGCGTACATAAGAAATATGTACAAACGTGAGGATACTAGAAATTGGTTGGAAAATAATTATAAAGCCTTTAAACCGTATAGTTTTAGGGAAAACTATAGTTTTAGGGAGAACTTAAAGAACTTAAAGAACCCGGAGAACTCGAGTTTTAGAGAAAACTTAAAGAGAACGGAAAACTATAGTTTTAGGGAGGACTTAAAGAACCCGGAGAACTCGAGTTTTAGGGAAAACTTAAAGAGAACGGAAAACTATAGTTTTAGGGAGGACTTAAAGAACCCGGAGAACTCCAGTTTTAGGGAAAACTTAAAGAGAACAGAAAACTTTAGTTTTAGGGAGAACTTAAAGGGAACGGAGAACTACAATATCCGGAAGAACTCAAATATAACGGAAATCAGCGGTTTCATGGAGACCCTAAATGAAGCGGATAACCAAGGTTTTTTTCTTAAAGTTTTAAGATCTAAATATTTTTATTTCGTTAAAAGTTATTTATTTTTATATTACTGAAAATCAGTTAAAATATAATTAAGACGGGTATAAAGATAAAGGAACATATAGATGCCACAACAACTCTCTTTAAAGTTTAAAAAAGCTTAACCGTAAGTAAAGAAAATGTGTTTTGTGTAACTTGTTTTATATCTGGGACAAAATTTAATGAATTGGGTTGATCGTTGAACTACCTACGCGCCGGTTCAAATCCCCGACTTACTCATCAACTCATTACCTAAATCATTATGAATCTTTAAATATGAATCGGTGATTTAGGATTTGGACCGGCCACAGGTAGTTCAGCGACTTCTCGCAACATATTAATTCCGATGTCAGGATTTGAAGAAAACAGGCTGGATACAGAAGACAAGGTTGCATGTATTTTGAGAGAAATTCAGGAGAAAATCAACCTCAAACTTGATCAAATAATAGGTAATTATTATTTATATTATTATTATTATTATTATTATTATTCTAGATTTGAAAGTTGAAAGATTGGATTCTGAGCTGAACTCCGTCCTGTTAAACCTGAAGAATGAGTTGAACCTGATCCAGGATAAACTAGTTGTAAACACTGACAAACAGAGAGAGGAGTTAAACCAGATAACAGGTTTAATCAATTTAATAAAGCTCTTCGCTCATATATATACTTTGCTTGTCTGTCTGGTTGTTTGTTTGTCTGTTTGTATCTAATAAACGTCAAAACGGCTGAACCGATCGGGCCCAATTTTTTGTGGGACCTAGCGTAACCTCTAAGAAGGTTTATGGATGATCGAATTTTCAAAATTTGCCTCTAACAAAATTCGATTTTTGAAAATTTGGAAAATTCCCGAAATTTTGTTTTTATAAAATCCGCGAAGTTTTTGTTTGTTTTTGATTTACAATGTATACAAAGACAAAATGTTCGCCATTGAAATAGAATATGGGCGCGCCCTAAAACGCTAGTATTCAATATTGCACTAACTGGGGAATTTAGAGATTTGAGATGAACTTAATAAAAAGATAAAAAGTTTTATTTTTATCAAAAGATTTACTCAGATGTCGGGGTATTAGACATGAACACTACTGTCGCGTAGTAAAATGTCGACAGTAAGAGAAGAATACTACTGTTGCGTAGTAAAATGACGACAGCAGAGGGAATGTCGACAGCAGAAGGAATTTTTTAAGAGACCCTTTATTTATAGAGTTATATGCTTTTAGATCTATTTTGCAAACAAAAATATTTAAATGTTTATTTTTTAATTAAATGTTTTTAATCATAAAAAGTCAAATTTTTGAAAAAAATTATTTTTTTTCAAATTTTTCTTTCTTTCCCTTTAAACCTTAAAAAACTATTTGCATGATACCTTGAAACGCAGTCAGTTTTAAACAGTTTTAAATGCAGTTTCTCTGTAAAATTTACTGGTGGAATTAGATTTAAAAACAAGGAATGAAATTGACAGAATTTTCGAGATAAGAAAAAAATAGGAAATCTTACTCATTGTTACTCAGATAAAGGTTTTGTGTTTAAAGGGCATATAAATCTATAAGTGAAGGGTCACTTGAAATTGTGTGAAAAATCCCTTTAAGTCAAGGTTTATGTAAATAAAGATAATATTGTTTCCACCTAAATTGCATCAAACATGTTTTAGAAAGTTTGCACAGAACTTCAATCAACCTGGAGAAACAAAACCTAGAACTGAGAAATCTCTGCTTAAAACTAGTCCTGATGCAGACCGAAGAGAAGAATGTTCAGGATCAAACCCCCAGTATAGATGTAGGACCCGGAGAGTCTAACGACGGATTTGTATCTTTAGACGCGACGGGAAAGAAGAAGTGTGGGTTGTGTGTGCTTCTCTAGATACTTGGGAAAGTACTGGAATTAATAAAGATTTAAATCAATTCCATATTGTCAATATTTAGCAGAGAGAAGAAGTAATTATAGAGCAAGTTATTGGCCGTCTTTTAAGCATTTATCTTTGAGGTGATAACTTTTGAACATTTCTCCTTGCCAAGGTTTCGTGGTGGAGAAAATTAGTTTTAAATCATTTTATATTAATTCCTGTCGATTCAGAAGTTGACAGCTTAACATCTGACAATGCAAAGTACCGCCTCCCCGCAAAGTACCCCCTCGCCTCCCCGCAGACCTATGTCTTTATCAAGCAAAGTCCAAGTATAAAGATATAAAGTATAATAAGTATAAAGTCCAAGTATAAAGATGCAAACTAGATCGAGGAAAGCAAAAGATAATTAAAAAGTCAACAAGGCAAAATATGAAATTTGCTAGTTTTCTGCATTTCAAAAACCATTTAGTTAACATAAAAGTTTAGCATAGATTTATTTCTTATAGAAGAAAATTGTATTGTAAAAGTACAATTAGACCCATAAAACTGTGGAATAAGAAAGAAAATAATTATGCCAGTAGCTTCAAAATAAACTTTTGAGTACAATGGGTCTGTGCACACTGCACAATTGCCCTGTTTCATGCTTATTGAACTATTTATTAAAACGTTCTCTTTCATACTTTATTCGAAAGAACACAAGAATTTCTTCTAAGAGTTTGTTCCCCTTTATGTTTTCTGATTAAAGTTTGAGAGTTCTGAGCTGGGCACCCTCTCATTTAATTTCTTCCAAGAGAGAGGATTCTAAGGTCGGAGCTGGGATTGGTTCCTGAACCAGGGAGAGCAGGGACGGGATTGGTTGAGAAGAGAATATTTTCTCCGGAGAGCAAGTAAAACTGAATTTCCCCGCTTTAATTAGTTGCTGCAAAGTTGGGAGAAGAGAAATCCTTTTTAATTCAAAACTAATCCAGCTCAGAAAATTGGATTCTCCAGGGTTTACTTTCTCCTTGGCGGGAGAAGGATCCAGGAGGGAGAAGGATCCAGGAGGGAGAAAATTTTGAAAAAGAAAAGTTTTTCAATTTTATATCAGTCATTTTTATCTTATCTTATGATTTTAAAATCTTCACCCCTTTATAATTTAGTTTGTTAAAGCCCTGGGTCTCTAAGCAAGGTTCGGCACTAGACAGATTCAAATATATTTGAAAATAGTTTTCTCCTTGAATTGGTAATTGGGAAATATAGGTTTATCTAGGTTTAGGTTTAGGTTCAGGTTTAGGTTTAGGTTTAGGTTTAGGTTTAGGTTTAGGTTTAGGTTTATGTTTATGTTTATGTTTAGGTTTAGGTTTAGGTTCAGGTTTAGGTTTAGATTTAGACCTAGGTTTTGGTTTGATCCTTTGTTATGATTTTGTTTAAGGTTAGGTTTAGATTTATTTTTAGGTTTATGTTTAGAGTTAGGTTTAAGTATAGGTCCAGGTTTAGTCCTAGCTTTAAGTCTAGGGTTAGGTTTAGGTTCAGAATTAGGTTTAGGTTTAGGTTTAGGTTTAGGTTCGGCCTAGCTTATAGTTAAGGCGTTGAAGCTTTGATTAGATTTTGGTTAAGGTTTATGTTTAGGGCTAGGTTTAGGTTAGGGTTTAGGTTAAGGTTTAGAATTAGGTTTTTAATTAGATTTAGGTCTAGGTTAAGGTTTTAGGCTTTAAAGTTAGGTTTAGGTTTAGAGTTAGATTTAGGTTTATGTTTAGGTTTAGAATTAAATTTAGGTTTAGATTCAGGTTTGTTTAGACTGAAACTTAGGTTTAGGTTTGTTTAGGTTTTTAGTTACTCCGAGTAGAAGGTAGAACTAGGGATTATGATTATATTTACTCCGGGTCTATGGAGAACTAGGAATTCTGATTATATCTACTACGGGTATATGTAGAACTAGGGATTCTTATTATATTTACTCCGGGTATATGGAGAACTAGGGATTATGATTATATTTACTCCGGGTATATGGAGAACTAGGGATTCTGATTATATTTACTCCGGGTATAGGGAGAACTAGGGATTCTGATTATATCTACTCCGGGTATATGTAGAACTAGGGATTCTTATTATATTTACTCCGGGTATATGGAGAACTAGGGATTCTGATTATATTTACTCCGGGTATAGGGAGAACTAGGGATTCTGATTATATTTACAAGTTTCTAAGTTGACAAGAGGTTGAGTAATGAGTAATGAGGACATTGTTTAAGTATGCAAATTCAGGTTTATCAATGCTCTTTCAAATTTCTTTAAAATAGTTTATTATCATGAAAGTTTTTTTTCTTGTATCAAAAAAGTATTTCAAGAATTTTTTATTTTTAAAAACTTTTGTCAGCAACGTCAATGTCAGTTCACAATGGGAGAATACTTCATACAACCTTTCATTTTGGAAAATTATTACATTTAGCTTTTCATAATTTATATCTATTCCATTCTCCATTCTTTTATCTAAACATTTAGTTTATTCTATCTATCACTATCTATGTCTATAAATTAAACAAGACATTCATATATATGTTGCATATAGCCGGCCAAACGGCTGAACCGATATACTGAAATTTTTTGTGGACAATTGTGGGTGGCTGGGGGGTGTTATAGGCTAAAAAAATTAAATTTTTTCCACCGACAACGCTGGGCCCTTCAGTTAGTATTATATATATTTATATCAGGGCTAAAGGAATTGAGTATTTGCCACAAAAAACAAATTTCAAATTCATATATCTTTGGAACCTTTGATATTTCAAACTTAGATTATTTCACCTAATAGAACTTCATAGTTTGAAATTTTAAAGTTATACTACATTGGGTTGCAAAGATATAAGGATTAGAAGATCAGAGTTTGTGGCAAAGACTCAATTCCTTTATAACGGTCGCAGGACCTCATATGACCCCAAGGTAGAATTATGGATCATAAAAATTGAAGGAAAAAATCCTGGAAAAAAAGTAGAATATTTTTAGAAATGCACCTTTTCGAATGGAAAAATCCGTTAAACTTTGAGAATGAAAAAAATGGCCGACTTTCAAAGCAACAGTTAAAAGCTACAATTATTTACATTATTTTTAATATTTTTATTCAAATCATTCCCTTATCTATTCATGCTATTCTTTAAACATTTATTTAAAATTACCTTCCATTCAAATCTTTTTTTAACATTTAGTTCATTATAATAAGTATTTTATTTTTTAAACATTAGATTGGTCATTTAATTTTCTATTTTATTTAAAGGGTTTTTTTTCGTTTTTCATCTTATCCTTGAAACATTTAATGAAGAATGCTCCCATTTCATTCTATATCTTAAATTCAATTTGAAGAGTCCTCCATTCTGTTCTTTAAACTTTTAACAAGATCTTAATATATTTCATTTTCCATTCTATCTATTCAAAATTTTATTTATTCTATACATCCATTTTATCTCTCAAATATTAGATTGTTACTTCCATTAAAATTATAAAATTGTCCATTCTTTTCAATTGAAGCATTTGTAAAATCCATTTTTATTCCATTATGTTATTCAAACTTTATAGTTCATTCCATTTTCATATTTAGTATAACATTCTAGTCAAGTATAGGCTAGCCTAAAATGTTTTTCTAATTACAGATTAAACTTTTTAAATAAAGTTAAAAAATTATATTTGATTTTTTTTAAATCTAATTATTGTTTGACTTTTTTTTTCATTGCAAAGGTTTTTTATCCTCGCACAAAGGAACTGAGTTTATGCCACAAACTTATATCTTTGCAACCCAATGTTGATATTTTCAACTATGAGTTCTATTAGATCTAATATGTTTGAAATATCCAAGATTTACACCATCCTGTTGCAGAGAATAGAGATATGAGGATTAGAAAATTGAAGTTTGTGACAAAAACTCCTTTGGTCCTTATCTCCCGTCCTCCATACCCCCCTGCCCCCTCCTCTTCTCCTTTCTCCCAACTCCTTGGCATTAAAATATTATATTCTCGTTTACTATGGAATGAGCCCATTAGTCTAGATAAATGCTGGGTTCACGTGAAGAGAATGGTTTAAAGGGTTCGCCGAGATCTAAGATATATCTTTGCAAAACATTACTAGGGATAGGGGAAGGCGAGGGGGAGGGGATGTTTCTATACATTTTGCCAAATTTCTCATTTCAGTGAATTAAGTTTTCCTGTGCTCTGGAGAGGGACTGGAGAGGACGGGAGAACCTGAACTTGTTTCCAAGTTTCAGATCCCTTTAATCAACTTTACAAACATCTTGACACAAAAATTAGAAACTTCAAACAGAAATATTAGAATTATCAGAAATATGAAGCTAGATATTAGAAATATCTTAAGGCAGAAATATCAGAAACATCTTTAAACAGAAATATCAGGAACATCCTAGAAAAGAAACATAAGAAATAAAATAAGAGAATAAATAAACCCGTTTAATTAGGTTTATTTTTCTGATTTTATTAATATTTTAAACATAATTGAAAGTCAAAAATATGAATCTGAAAATATTCCGCCTCAACCAACGACAAACTTTCAAATTTATGCAAATTACTAAGATCTTATGCAATTCTTTTCAATAGGCCTTCAGGGAGAGGAATTATGTTTACATGTAAATTAAAAATTTACAAAATTTCAATTCTTAAATGTATGTTACAAGTATTCCCCATAGTATTGATTTGTAAAGTTTGTAAAGAATGGGGGGGTTGCATCTCCCCCCCCCCCCATCTCTCTTCTAAAGATGGAGCTGTATTCCCCCCTCTACTGGCTCCGGGGAGTATAAAACTCTGACAAGTTTTCTAGAATCTTGTATCCTGGTTGGTCCGAATACTGGGATCCAGGATCCGCATAATCTGCAGATCAATACTTTCCAACTTGAAAACATGGTTCCAAGGAAACTCCGGAGAAAAGATGGAGAAACCACGGAAACTTATTCTTCACGAAAAAAGAGAGAGTGGGGAACGTTATTTTTTGTAGAAAATTTTTAAATGTTTTAAATCATATAGAAAAAAAGCTTTTATTCGGA